CAAAAATATATGCTGGCAATCAAGCTATACAGACAGGGTTAACGACATATTTTCATTGACATACAACACTTAGCAGTTCAACGTCGGAAGTTGGAAAAAAATCACAAAAACACTCAATCAAATCATGTTAAATTAGCCTATAGTCTGAATCCTATTTTTTTTCCCCGTTCATCTAGTTTTATTCTTAGCCTAGGTGCAATTATATTGGTCTTTGGCAAGTAGGATTTTGTTGGAAGTGAACAACAATCACTTTGTATTGGTTTTTATATTAAATAAAATCATTTGAGCATTTTTTTCATATTTACCCAATTTTAGGTATTAAACAAATTTTGAAGTGTTAATTATAATTAGCACATGCCATTGCATCATATTGGTGTCTGAAACTAATTATTAAGCCTTTGTTGCCCTCCAGGGCACATCCGAGTTGGTGGAACAATCACTATGGTGGACTTGCAACCTCAGCATGGAGAGTTCAATTTCTGATCAACGCAGTGAAGAGGATTCTCTTGGGGTCAGGAGTATAAACCAAGTGGGAACTTGGAAGCCAATAAGGACATAACCTGCGATTTACCTCCTCGAGTCACTGAGGGGTCGGTGGCTAGAGGTCTAGGATTTAGTCTGACGAAGCTGGGATACCTGGGTATCAAAAAAAATAAAAATAAAAAAAATTATTAAGCCTTTGTTTGCCTGCCAATTTTTGCAACCAAAACACGGTAATGAACAGTGGTATAATATAAAAAATTGGACAATCATCTGACACAGATTCCTCGTCCTGAAAAATTGACTCAACCTGCCACTCTACATTTCCATTATTGTCCCCACTAATTCCATATACTTTTCTATTTTCACCTTTTGCCCAACAATTTGAGACGTGTTGACCAATGTTTTGTATTTGAATTTTCCAACTACGTATTCAAGCCCACACTACCGTTTTCAAATGGTCTCGTTCCGTATTAATCCAAACCGTGAACATAGTGAACCAATGCATAACGAAATGTACTGATTTATTTGACTATTCCCGATTTAGAAGAGTGAACTCGAATGATTCTACGACCAATTTTTAATGCCAACGTTACGACTACGCATTTTATGCATGCCTTATTTTGATTAGGTAGATAAATATCACAAAAACAAAGTTTTCATCCTTACACATTCATCTCGCGAATTTTTCGACGGTTGCTGTAAATTATTTATGCCCATTACAATGAAAGAAATGCCACTACTTCAAATGATTAATCCGTGACGTTCATCTCGCAATATTATTAATTCAATATTGCACTATTCGTCCTAATACATTCATCTTCCGAATTGTTCGACGGTTGTTGGAAATTATTTATGTCTGTTACAATGAAAGAAACACCACTACCTCGAAAGATTAATTTATGCATTCGTCTCCAAATATTATTAATTTAATATCACGCTAACATAATACGTGCGCCAAGCAGTTGTTCCCACGGTAAATCTTCCTCCGCAATTGCATCAACTTCTGCTGCGAGATCGACCTGCGCGGATGGGAGGTCTATCTCTACTTTCTCATCACTTTTTTCTTCTGCTCTACCAAATGCTTTGATTGCACTGCCGTTGAGCTTTAAAAAATTGTGTACCGCCATTGTCTCAACTACAACCGCTGTTTGCACAAGAAATGAATAGCTCAACATACAATCAAGAATTTTCCATCGCTGCTTCAAAACTCCGAATGACCTCTCGATGACTTTCCTACAAGACGAGTGATAGAAATTGAACCATTCCCGTGCATCTCGAAATCTTCAACGTCTGCCTGTCAGACCGTACGAAACTCCTGAAAATGATATCGAATATTCGAACCTTTGTAAGGATCCATATAACTGGGTCAATGGACAAATCCAGAGTCCACGAGATAATACTTCCCAGGAGCGGGTACGGGAAAATTAATTTCCTGATTACGTATTGCGTTCGTCGAAATGCGACTGTCATGCGTGTTCACTATATACCCTGAAAGTACGAACGTGAAGCATAGGTTAAAATCGCATGCAGCTAGCATGTTTTGCGTTGGGATTTCTTTACGCCCTCTGAAATTCTCTCGCTCGTGACGCAGTAAGATTGCCCACACATGTGTACCATCGTTTGCTCCTATGCAGTCCTGATCACATAAAATATAGTTCACTGTCTCACTATCTAAGGAATGTTGCATTATAATAATGAATATAATAATACGAAACTATGTAAATAAATGCCAAGATTTATAATCCTCACCTGGAACAATGGATATTCTATAGGGTCCCGATGATGATGTCTGACTCTTTGATTGTAATTCGGATCGGGCTTGATAACATTTTTGACGAATGCGACAATAGCTTGAAGCGCTCATTTGAAATGGAGACTGATCGTCTGCAACGAGTGGCCGAAAATTGTTTGCACTTGTCTGTACCATATCTCGTGGCCTAAGACACATAGAAACATTCCGACCTATTCGTATATGTCGACATAAGCATTGTTCCAAAGACCGTATTCGTCACGAAGCATGTGTGTGAAATGAGTGAACATACGTCGGTACATTCTGAACTCTTGAAAACACGTTTGTGGATATGCATACAAATTTTGTAGCATGAACAGATGTCCGCTTCTTATGAAAGGAAAAAGAAATCTTGGTTCGTTTGAACGATGCAAATAGTCACGAACCATTTGTTAGGAAATGCGACAATATAGAAGCCCCATTTCAATGTCCTCCGCGAGCTGTTGCTAACGACCTCATCGTCCAAAGTATCCGACACATCGGAGTTTTGTTGAAGGTTTCAATGTCTAAAACGATACTGTGACATTTTGTGCTTATTCGACGACACAGAAGGAAAATATTGCTGCAATGAAGGCCAATACCTGACTGTGAAGGTGGCTGAAATGCTATATTCGGTGTAGTTAATTGCATGCTCAATGAATTCGTATATTGGCATGTAATAGTGTTTTTTCATTCATAATTAGACACATGCAGGGAATCAATTCCTTTTTAGATATCGTTGCATGTAAAGTGATGTCATGCTATGTATAGGTGATAGACTTGTGGATCATCTTTTTATATTTTCCATGGAAAAGTAGCAGTGTGATATAGGTGTACTTGGCATACAATGCATAGAAAGTTTATAAAAACATTCAAATACAGGTACATAATTGAACCAAGGGGATTTTGTTTAAGAAGACTAGTCAACCATAATCTTTAGTAAAATAGCTTATATCAATACTTCTTGTTCAAGTAGTTCATAGTCTATTTGATTATATATTAAAAGTCTTAAATACCCTTAAATTGAAATGACTAAAATATCAAATTTGGAAATGAATATTACCCAAATCCCCTTCATTTCTCTCGTTTTCAAGTCCATTTTTACCATATTAAACCCTTCGGTTGTATTCTTCTTCATATGCATTATTTCTTGCTTACAATGAATGATTGCATGTTGAAGTTCCCTTTCTTGAACCAAGAACAAATGAAATAGTGCAAATTTTGGAGGTGGGTTAGCAAGAATCGATTTCACACAGTTGAAGGTGAGTTTTATAAATTGAAAATTATCGATTTTGTTATTATTTTCTAGTTGTATACTATGAGAAAAATCAATTGGGTAATTAAAGTTTGCTGTAAAATATTGAAACGGAATGTTGCCGTTTCTAAGTAGTTGGGTGCCCTTTTTTCCCAGCTGGCTGCCGTTTTAATAAGACAATGGAGGTATTGATATACTTGTAAGCAAATTAGTTGTTTCCCCATTCTTTTATAGTATTTTATTATCATAAATAAATTTAAATGGCACATACACATTTTAAACTACGAAATGTTGTTTTGTTCTGCTGAAATCTGTTATGTAACAATATGAGTAGCATTTTGTTTGTTATTGAAGTTGTGATTCATAGTATTCAGTTTTGGCAATTAATGGAGTAATATATTATA